ATAATGACAACATATACTGTGGTCGAACCTATTTAAATATACTTGATGGTGTTATTTGACATATGGTATACACCATTCTTGTTTCACAATCCTAACAAAGCCTTAAGCCTCCTGAAGTTTCAAACTGTAACTCTTAATGCACGAAAAATGCTGTCTGAATTTACTGCATATACGCTGTAGAACAAATATTTCAGTAGCAACACTAATTCTTTTAAAACTAGGAATAGTTAAGTTCTATCTGCAAAACTATGCCCACTTAGTGCACACATCATGACAACATACTTTGTATTTATTTCATTTCCAAATTATAAAGCATGAACTTTAAGAGTTCATCTTAAGTTTTTATCTCAAAGAAACACATGTCAAGGAACATGATCCACCAAATTTTAACTCTGAAACAAATGTCACATAATCTAACAAAATCCACAAATTACAGCAAGTTTCTGAAGTCTCATTAAACAAATTCGTTCAACCCCTAGGAGGTATATGCTCCCTAGGGAGCACACATACTAGCAGGGAGAAAAAAGGGTTGGAGAAAATGGAGAAGGTCGCTTAATGTGATAAAGGATATAAAAAAGAAAATATGTTTTAGGAATGCAGCTTCACTTTCCTGATCCAAGTATCAGAAGTTTCAATAAGGAAGAGAGCAATGTGGATTCATGAATCCAACAGGCAGAGGACTCCTGTGAAAGGCAAGTCTGCCCAGTGTCTCTGAGCTCTTCCCCGCTGCAAAGCTCTCCAGGTGCTGCACCTCCCAAGTAATTTTTCTTTGTCAGAACTTTCATTTACGGATACATATTTGCAATTTAAAGAGACCATAATGTTATAATATTTTTTTGGTCCTTTAAAAGACTTGTTCATATGTTTATACACCACCTCCTTCTCTTAGGTAATTTAGTCAAATATGTCATTGAGACAAGATCACTAAACATTAAAACTAAAAAAAAAAAAAAAATCCAAGGACCCTTTTGTAAGACTCAGATGACAACCCCAAGACTTCCTTCACATGCAATCTATTAAAAATCAATATAACAGGCATTCTCAAAAACATATATTCCTAGATATCTAACCACAGAATTCTCAGAGATAGCACTTCATAAAAAATACCATCTAATTTGTAAACTATAAAATAAAATACGTAACTATGATTATTATTAATGTTTAATCAGTATATACTTTAAATGGTAGTCTTACTATTGAGCATATATAAATAAACTATAACAAAACATACTCATGTGAATGTAAACTTGAGATTATAGTTTAGATGACATAAAATAAGAATCAACTCAAACACATTTTCGAGGCCACACAGGGCAAAGTATTATTTTACTGTTCAGATATGGTGATAGAAAAGCTTAAAAGTTGACAAAAAATGAATTAATCTCGAGATTTTTTTTCTTTAATACTCTTAACAAAGTGTTACTATTACATATTTGATGATAGACTAAAATATAAAATACAGATAACATTTGATCACAGAAAACAAGGTATCTGTGTACATCTGCCGCTATCTTTTTATAGTGTTTGGGTTTATGAACCTCTCCTACTGGTTTTTAAAGTCAGGATACAGTCTTATTATTTTAGACTTGAGAAAGGGCAGGAGATAAAAATCCTAAAATATGGTAAAATATACTTACTTTTTAAAGTATAGATTTCGCATTAGTGAATACACAATACCCTCTAATTTTTTTCTATTTTTTAATCTGTCTCTGGATTTAAGCAAAAGAAACCATCTCAAATCAATTACATTTTAATTAGGATGCAAACACAATGTGCTATTTTCCATACACACTCTCTATGAAGAATAGAGATGCAATGATAAGATATTTCTGTGTTTTTACTTTAAAGATAAAAATGGGATTTCACTCTAGGGTTTTCAGTTAACTTGAGTACTGGTTTGGGGCAAAATACTTTATTTCTGCAGCACCCAATGAAGTATTTGTTACAAGGATGCCCTAAAAGGATTCAGTACATTTTCTAAATGAAACTTTTGAAATAAAAATATATGTAAATATGCTCATTAGCCTTTAGTTTAATATCACCTGTTCAGATTTTATAGATATTGATTCAAGAATAGCAAATTTATAAAAATATTTTAAATTCACAACTGAAGGCATATCTATATGACAGGGAAATGTCAGAGTTATACTATTCAGATATATTTATAAAAGAACTATAAAGGAGAAACTATCAAAAAATGAACTGTGTATAGCCTTTCTTCCATCTATAGAAGACTACACAATAGTGCTATTCAGTAATTGTGTGGGGATTTTAGGGTTTTGTTTTTTGTTTTTTGTTTTTTTCACACCAAGGGTCGAACTCAGGACCAGGCAAGCACCTATGCTACTGAGCTAAATCCTCAGCCTAAATAATTGTGTTTTATTGACTATTAAGACTGTACTACTTTAAGCAGCTCTATTAAAACTGAAAAATGTACTATAAAATAGAAAGGACACTTCGATTAAAAGGATAAGAACCAAAGTTGAAGTATTGGAGAAGGCAACAAAAAGTAACTTTAAATCAACTGATGGTTAAAACAAACTACAGTTGTAGATAAGCTGATTCCTACAGAGTAGAATTAGTTGTTGATACAGAGGCCAAGTTTAGACCATTTTGGGCACTAAATTTGAAAAGGTGTTTACTAAATTTGAGTACATTTTTTAAAGAAAAACAGTTGATAGTATTCAGTGACTACATGATCAGTGAGCTTCACCTTTATCATGAGAGGTGAGATCAATAAATCTACGTCAACCTGAATGCAACCGGGACTTACTGCGGAATATCAATACACATATCTGTATAAATAAAGGCAAATAAATATTCATGAACACCAGAAAGTCAAGTGAGGGAATAAGACTATGTGTTATTCAATGGGAAGAGAATCTCAACTTGTGGAAGCTTCATCTTAAGAACCTATCAAGGACAGAGGATAAATGAAAATCAATTATTCCCATATGGCTCACCTCATATGAAAAACTATTCAAACCATGAAAAAGTCATGAAAATTCCATAGTAAAATATTTAAAAAGACAAGATAAATCAAATCCGTTTAGAGAGTAATCTGGGTATCTTCAAATGATGTGTAAGCAATCTAAGTACACCCACACGTATAAATATTGGCAGGAACTATCTAATGCTCTACATGTAGAGCCTTGATAACAAAGTAAATGGATTACTACCTTTGTAACACTCAGACCAGTAGTAAATAAACACCCTGTCCTACAGGTGTGGGCCTCCTCCTCACATTCACATCCACACATCCACATGTGGCATGGGTATGGCGGCCAGTTAGGCGAGTGACCAGAGGGATGCTGGAAGGTCACTTTCTGACAGAGGGACAAAAATGTCCTCTCTAAACTCCAGAGATTTTGAAAACTTAGCACTGTACTCTAATGAACTTAAATCCAGCCTGGTCATGGAGAAGTATCTCTCCCTTCACCTCAAGAATTATTAAAACATACACATGATAACACACTATCCAACAGAGATTTCCACATGGCTGTGAAGACAGCCACAGAGATTATCAGAGTGCTGGAAAACAATACCTATGAGAAAATCTCAAGTTTACAGGAGCAAATCAGCTTCGGCAGGTATCTGAAGGATTTAAACTTGCTATAAGGAAGATTCTCCTGACACTGTGGATTGTTAAACATTGTAAGCAGTTTGCTGAGACTGAGGAAATTCCAATCCTGAAAATCTGTAGATATAGGTAAAATGCAGACCTGCTGCTCAGAAGGATAGAATTTGGGCTTCACTCAACTTCAACTTCCCACGTCCTTGATGACCCTGTAAGCTTAATTCTAAGGATAATACAAACCGCGTTTTTTGTTTTTGTTTTTTTCATGTAGCACTTCTGGTTCGTTACTATTTAGTTGGGGGCAGTGCATATAAGCATGTTAAACAGTAGTCTGTCATAAAGAATCCTAGTGATATCTCAGAGTACTTGTAATATTTTCTGATTTTATTTTCCTTCTGATTTTAGATTTGTCATGCAAATCATATATAATGCTTAATCAAAGTTACATGTTGCAGTTCTGAATAACTCACCATAACGAAGTATTACACTATAGTGGAAAGAACCAAACAAAACAGGCTAATTAAGGTTTTCCTTTTTATATCAAACAGATTGAGAATAGTGTCTTCTACATTAGACGAGGAAAGTTGTTCATTAACTTTAGATTCTTGGTCACTAATAGTCTAAAACATGCATCCAGCTATGGATGTATACACACATACATACATGCATGCAATTTCTTGAAACATTTGCACCCTAAAAATTAGTTTATAGTATTAAGGAATAAATCAATAATATACCTGACTTTGATTCCGGAAACAAAGTATTTTATAAAAAAAAAAAAAAAAAAGTACTTCGGTAAGTCAGACAATAACCAAATGGAATGGTATACAAAGTTAAATCGATGCCATTCAAATTGCATGTTGACATATTTGCATATAATACAAAAACAATCCAATTTAGATTTTCACAAAGGAACCCTTTTCTTTTCCCCTTAAAGTATCCACACTGTTAAGCCTTAGATTTGATCAAGGTTTGACAACCAATACCTTTTTTTCCTTTTACCAAGGATAAGAAACAAAGTCCTTGCAGTTTATTTACTGAAAGTAACGTCAATAAAACTAATAGCAAGACATGACTTCATAAACGCACATTATAAAGTGCCACCCAAACTTTCCACACTACCCTAATCAGAGGACTCCTTTGGCTGCCTACAGCCCAGAGGAGCCACCTTCTCAGCTCTACAGTCAATCGCACTCAGCAGAGAGCTGCATCCTGAGAAGTTCAGGTCCTCAGGACTCTGCTGAAAATACCCACGTAAACACACCCTTTGCTGTGCAACTGTCAATGAACTGGGTAAACAGACATAATATACCAACAGGAGAGACTCGCGCCTGGGAAACACACCACCCACTCACTGTATCTCTCCGTCTCTGATTCTGAGGGATTCTGAGCGTGTGTGTGCGTGTGTGAGCGCGCACATTACCGGAGAGGGAGATCCGTTCTTGCAGAGAGGCCCTCGGAAGACTCCTTTAATGCCCCGGTAGTGCCCATTGCTGAGGTGTCTCGAGCTGATGACCAGGTAACAAGCCATGTGGGGCGGGCGGGAAGCGCTGCCTTAACTCCTCAGCAGGCGCGCAGCCCTCGCGCCGCAGCCTGGCGTCTGGCCGGCAGCGCGGGGCGACCGCGGCTGCCCTCCGCACGGCGACGGCGCGGCTGCAGTGGCCCGGGTGCAGAGCGCGCCCCTGCCCCTGCCCCTGCCCCTGCCCCTGCTCCGGCGCCGGCTCCCGCTGTTGCTCCAGCTTCCGCTCCAGCTCCCGTGCCAGCCGCGAGCCTGGCTGCTGCGCCGAGCGGCTGTGGGGACGGCGGCGGCCGAGCACCTGGGGGACCCGGCGCGCAGGTCCACATGCTGCGCGGGCGAGGCGGCCGTTCCACACGGGCAGGCGAGATTTGTTTTTAAGGACAACTTCCCGGGTCCGCCGGGGAGCCGGGAGCCCCCGCCCCCTTGCGCCCGCCCTGCTCGGGCGCCTCTCACGCGCCCGCGGACGCTGGGGCGCCGCCCCCCAGGCTCGGGGTTGCTGCGCGGGACCTGCGCGGCGCGGGCGGCGCGAGGAGCAGGACGGGTGAACGCTGGGGCGGGCGCGGGAACACGGGGTCCTGGGGGCGCAGGCCTGGGGGCGCGCGGGGAGGCGACGCTGGCACTGTAAACAGTGCGCTGCCGGCTGCGGTAGGGTTCTTGCCCGGATCCCGGGCCGGGTCTCCACGCCAACTTTTCGGCGTTGGGGGGCACTAGGTTGGGCCGGGGAAGGCGTGGAGAGGAAGGAGGGCGGGAGGGCTGCGCGACTCCTCGCCTCCTCCTCCCCTTGTCTGCAGCCCTTTTGCGCCTGCCACAGCCGGTGGCTTCACTCAGGCCAGGCTGGCTGCTGGACTCCTCCACAGCGGGACAGACAAGCTGAAGCAGGCGACGCGTGGAGGAGCGTGTTAGGTGCGGAACTTCTCTAAGGTCTAGAAGGCGAGCATGCCTGCACATTGATATGCACATACCTAAGAGATTCACCTCCAAGCCTTTCTGCATCCATAAAGAGACAGTTACTTGGGGTCAAAATAAGGAAGACTTCAGTGCTTTCACAGCTCCCAGCGGTCATCCTCTGTGGAGTGGTCTTTGACAGGAATTATTTTGTTTGCTGTACCTTACTGCCAGAGAGCGAGGGGCACTGAAAATAGGAGACCTGCAAGGACCAGACCCAGCTGCCCTGGTGGCCTGGCCTAAGGTCCCTGTCCCACCTCCCGCAGGCGAGGGCCAGTCATCACCTCTGCCAGCTCTGGAATGAGCTGGAAAGTTCCTGCTAAGACATCCTCCGGCCTGTCCAGTTTCCTCACACTGTTCTGATACTGTAGGGATAATCCCCGTTCATACCCTGTCACATCAGCCAGAAACCAGCAAAAGAAAGCTGGGGATTCCCCCCAAACAACTCCTAAAATTATAAAGTAAAAATTACAGTTATATTACAACTTCTGTTATAAACACATCAATGTTTCTCATTTGAAGCGTTTCTTTTTGGAATGCTTAAAGGTTTCCAAATATATAAGGAAAAATGTCAAAAAATGGCTGAAACCGTGCAATGAAAACCTTGTATGAAATGTTTTGAGATATTATAAACCTTGTATGAACTGTTTAATTACCTTTTAACTATCTTATTGGTAAGAAGTTTTTGAAATAAAAACAAGTTTATGGAGCCGGGACAAATGATGCAACGCATCCATGCATTTTCTCTCTGCTATTGTTGTGTTCAACATCACATTAATGGTGTGTTTAAGGATGTGTTGTTTATGCAAGTTAGAGCTGTTAAATGTTTCATGAAGCTGAAAACAAGGAACATTCCTCATCTACAGACACATCGATAGATGTATTCTATACGAAGAAAACCAAGTTTTAATAAATAGTGAAACTACAAAAATGTGTGAAATCTTTACAGAAATGAATGAAATTTTAAGAGATAGAATGGTCAGTCTGTTGTTCTACTCTTGTAGCAAACAAAACTCAAGTAGCAAACAACTTTGAGGAACAAAGTTTGTGAATAATATCTCAGTGATACTACGTCTATTAATACATTTTTAAAAATTTGTTATGTTTCTTAAAAATTATTTGTGATTAATCCAAAGTATAAATTCAAATGGGGCATCTTTTTCATTACCTGTAGTAAACATAATTTTTAACTATCTTGACATTCTTGTGTGTTAAGTAGATTATCTTATGTACATTTTGTTTTACCCAGAATAAACAAAGTAGTATTCTCTTTTTTAGAGCAGTGTCCCAAAGAATAAGTTTTGTAAGTCTTTCTTTTTTGGAAATACATGGCATAGGTTTCTTTGATGTACAATATTTTAAATCAGTCATGGCTGTTCTTTGCTTTTGAACATTTTGCGGTTCCTTTAAAATATTGGGACAAATATTGGCACAATTTTTAAGAAGAGCTTTAAAAACAAACAAAATAATTCCCTTTGCCAGAATTGTGTTTGATATTTATGTGATATCATTATTGTCAAAAAGTTCCCATCATTGCTAGCCTATACTTTACATATGCCTCTTTAAATTTATGTAGAGAAAGATATCTATACCTATTTGGAAAGGTGCTACAGACACCAAGTTACTCAGTTGTATTAACTACTCATCTGACTAATGGTACGTGCTTTCCAAATCTAGCAATACATAATTTTCAGACAACATGAAATGAAAGTAAAACACTTCAAAATATTCCTGTGCTAAATAAGTTTTAGATGTGGGTCAAATTCCATTAAAATAAACACTATAAAAAGCAAATATCATGTGCGATTTTACAGAACCTATTTATTCAAAGCAATGTTTGATCTCATGAGTCTTCCTTCCGTGGAAAAGGAAGTGAATAGCAAAGGGCATGGACTCCGACCTGCAAGCGTTTTGACATACTCATGTATTTAGAAGATTCACACAGCAAGAAGTCTGCCCTTCTATTACCATTATCAGTGTATCTCAAATGCTGCCATCTCCACTGGCCCTTGAGTCTAAACCTTTGGTACAGTACCTGTTTCTTGAACCATAGCAATATTCTTCTCACTAGTGTCTCTGATTCTGATGTTGGATCTTTAAAGCCAAACACCAGAATGACATTTTTAAAAATATAGATCACATTCTAGTACTTCCATATTAAATATTTAATGATTTCATATCATACTCTTCTTTTAAAATTTTTGTTGATCAGATTTCTGCCTGCCTCCCACAGAGTTGCTCTCTGCTCCAGCCCCCTGGGGTCCTTGATCTCTGCTGCAATCTTTGTCCTGTCTGGCCTATATACTAGAAAGGCACCTATCTGCCTCACAAGAAGGGTATCTTCTGTCCTTTGGGGCAGATTTAAAGTCTGTCTCTTCAGAAAGATCCTCCCCAACCTCCCAGGTTAAAGGAGCTGCCTGTGGCCTGCAACTATTAAAAAAGTAAACTAAAAGTAAACTAGATTTTACTTTTCTGATAAGGTTTAAAGATTTCTAGAACAATCAAACAGGAAGTATGGAGTTCCCACGTATCTTTTTAAATTCCAAATAAACAATTTCTCCTGATATGAGCATCTTGCTTTAATCTAGCACATTTCTTACAACTAATAAGCCAATACAGAATAATATCACCCTTCATTCATGAGTCATAGTAGGGTTGAGTCTTTGTGTTGTGTGTCTTTTAGCTTTTGATGTGTAATGCCACATACCGACCATTACAATATCGTACAGAACACTTTTATTGCTCTCCCCATCTCCTCTACCCTACCCATTCATACCTACTGCTCCTCTGAATCCCTGGCAGCTCTGAATCTTTTTTATGCTCTCCCTAGTTTGGACTTTTTAAGAATATTGTGTAGTTGGAATTACACAGCATTTAGATGTTTCTGATCAGTTTCACTTCATAATATGCACTTAAGTTTCCTCTGTGCCTTTTAGTGGCTGGATATTCATTTTTATTGCTTAATAATATTGCACTGGGTTATGATTTTCATTACCCATCATGAATGTCATCTTATTTGGAACTAGGGTCTTTACTTGCAGATGACCAAGTTAAGATGATGTCATTAGAATGAGCCCTACTCCAGCATGAGGATGTGCTTACGAAAGGGATGTTCTTACCCTAGGATGCAGAGACAGAGGCACGGGGAGAATCATAATGGCAGATTGAAGTTTTTATACCACTCTCCAGTAAATGATGAAGATTGCCACTGATGACCACAAGCTAGCAAAGAGACAGAACAGTCACCCTCATGGCATCAGCGGGAACTGCTTCTGCCCATCCCTTGAGTTCCAGTTTCCAGTACTGTGTGGAAATCAGTTTCCATTTTGCGAGCCACTCGACATGTGTTGCTTTCTTATGACCCCTGTGCGTGGGAAACTAATAAACTTCTCCTGGGTGTACCAGTTTTGCTGTTTATTTACTTAGTGAAACATCTCTTACTTACTTACAAATTTTAGCAGTTGTGGTAAAAGCTGCTCTACACCCCCATGTGCAGACTTTTGTACGAATGTCAATTTTCAGCTTTTTAACTAATTATTAAAGGACACAGTGGCAAAGCTTATGTATACTTCTGTAAGAATCTGTCACTATTTTCCAGTGGAGCTGTACTATCTGCATTCTCACCAAGGAGAGAGAGTCTCTTTTACTCTGCATCTTTATTAGCATGTGTTGTTACAAGTGTTTTGTATTTTAGTCATTAAAATGACTGTATAGTGGTAGCATATTGTTTTAACTTGTATTTCTCTAAAGATATATGATGTGGAGCATCTTTTCTCATGTTTGTTTGCCATCTATACTTCTTCATTGTTATGTTTTCATACCATTGGCCAATTTTTTAATTGAGCTTTTGGTAATATTGGTATATTTTTGTTACTGAGCCTTTATTAGTTATGTGTTATCCAAATATTTTAGGCCCCATCTCTGGCTCATCTTGTCATTTCTTGCTTTTGTATTTTACAGAGCAGATATTTTCAATTTTAGTGAAAAGTTCAACTAAACATTTTTTTTTTATTTTATGGGGAAAAAAAGTAAAACAAAATTTCATAACAAATTAATAGGAGAATAACAATAGTTAATAGATTGGATATTGTTTTCATTAGTCACTCAGAGTACAAGATAAAAAAGTTGCCTATCAGTATTAGCACAAACCTTTCTTTTCAATGAACTAAGAGACATTAGTAGTATAACTAACTTGCATTTTTTTCCTTTTCCCTTCCTTTCTCTTTGTCCCTAACCTTGTTCCTTTCTCCTTTTGAACAATTTCTTTCCATTTCACAATATCTTTTGTATATTTTGGCCCTTATTTACCCTTTTCAGTTTCTCACACCAAGGAGACAATACGATGCTTACACATGTGAGTCTGATTATTGGTAAATGGGTGCCACTTAACAGTTTTTCATGTATAATCCTCTTGCTGTAGCATCTAAAATGTCATCTTAAAACTCAGAATCACCTAGATTTTCTTCTCTGTCAGGAGTTTTATGGTTTTACAATTTATAGTCAGGGTCTGTGATTCATTTCCAGTTAATTTCGTGGAAAGTATAAGGTTTGTGTCTAGATTTATTTTGGGGTGATGATATCTAGTTGCTCCAGCTTGAGTTGTAAAGGCCGCCCTCTCTCCAATGCACTGCCTTTGCTCCTGCCAAACGTCAGTGAACTGCAATTCTGTGAGATATTTCTGGAGTTCTGTTTTATTCCTTTGATCAGTTTGAAGATTCATTCACCAATATCGTATTGTCTTGATTAGTAGAAATAACTTGTTTTATGAATTTAAATTATATATTTAACATTTTCTTGCACTTTTATGCATAGACTGTTTATCAGTATGGAAAGAAAATTTTTATGAAGCAAAGAATTTTTTTTTGTTTTACCAAATTCTGTGATCCTACTATCAGAAGCAACCCAATGGTAATAATGGGGTCCTTAATTGTTATTTGGGGAGTGAGTGAATAATTATTTTGTATTTTAACCTAATAATACAGTTATTCCTGTATGATTATATGTGCATGAATGTGTCTGTATGCACTTGAATAAGAGAAATTCTGAAATTCAGGCAGTGATACTTCAGCTTCATTTTACATCTGAATCCTAAAAAAATATTCAGTCAAATCTCAATACTTTAATTATGGTAATATAATTTAAAATCTCAGCTTCTCCTTTCAAACTCTATTTGTATATCTTGCCTCCTGAAAAATGAATTAGTTAGACTTTATGTATTAAGTTGCACTAACATCTTTGTTATTTGGTAGCCAGAGATTTTGCCTTCTTAATTATATGACACCCAAAATGGACATTTGTTGTCTTCAAAACTGATTGAAACCATTGGGCAAGACAATTTGGTTAGCAGACAATTTAAAAAGGATGAGACCTAGAGCATTTGCTTGTATTAGACATAGTGGGACAAGGCTGTAATATGAACCTGTGAAGCAAAAAGGTACAGGAGGCAGCAGAAACCTTGGTGCACATCTCTCATTTGAGCAGCCATATAACAGATCAGTGAGGCCTCAGACAGTGTTTCAGTATGGACCTTGGTTGTCCCCTACAGCCCATGTGTTGAAGACGTTTTTCCCCACATGTCGTGCTGTCAGAAGGTGGTAAAACCTTTAGGCAGTGAGGCCTAGTGAAAGGAAGTTAGAACATTTGAGAACATGCCCCTGAAAGGAGTATTAAGGCCCCAATCCCATCCTATTTCTGTCTTTGCTTTCTACCCTTCATGAAATAAATAAGTTTCTTTGATCATTCACTGCTGCCATGATGCACAGGCTGAAAACAATAGGGCCAACCAACCATGGACTGAAATCTCTGAAACTGTAAGCCGAAATAAATGTTCCTCCAGGTATTATATCACAATGACAGAAAGCTGATGAGTACAAACAGGAGGTTAAAGAATCCTTGTGTTTTAAGAGAAACTAGAAACCCAGATTTTTATATAAAATCTCTACTATTTAAATGTTAGAAACAAACAGTCTTTCTTTTCTTATTGTGGGATTTTTTTTTAAAACATCATGAGTGAAAAAGCAAAATGGACTAGGAAAAGATAAGATACTGATAAGACAGTGTTTTTAATATACAAAGCACTCATACTAACCACTAATAAGAAAAGTTTGAAATTGAAAGAGGAACTTAAAGATACTTCACCAAATTACCAGGAATTGAAAATCTGAGAAATAAGCAATTTATCAGGCTTTGGCATAGCCTGATGAAATTTTCCTGTATCACACTCATTTCTGCTTAGGTCATGAATTATCATTTTTACTGGAATATCCATGAAATATACACTACTTCTCATTAATTACTTAGTAAACATCTTGATTACCAGATCAACTTTCACTATACCAGTATGTATTTGAGTCACCCTTATTTTACTTAACCATGACTCCAAAACACAAGAATGGATACTATCAATTAGATATCAGTCAGAAACCATAGGTATATCCTTTAGGTTAAAGGTATAGGTTCTTGACTAATAAGGAAAAAACAAATTGTATTGTTGCTAAGAATGTATCTTCGGTCTGTAATATTGTAAAGATGGAAAAGAAAACCTGTGCTACACTTTGGCTTGCAAAATTTATAAATTAAACTTTACCATGTGTGTTATTGTATAGGAAAAACTATACTGTGTAAAGTGAATTTAGTACTGTCCACCTCTCAGGCGTCCACCAGGTAGTGATGGTGAACCTGTTAGAGTCAGGCACTCAAACTACAACACAAAACCCACTTACTTATCACAAATTACTAACACTGCAATTAAACTTGAATGCTGAGGTTTTAGTTCAGGAAAAAAAAAAACCTCATACATTCACATCTTTTGCCTTAAAAACAAATAACACCCATGCCATAGGTTCACCACCACTACATTGGGAGTTCTGAAACACAGTCTCCATAACTAAAGAGGATGACTCTATTATGTATGATATTAGTGCAAAATTCCAGAAAACTGCTGGCAATATCTCCTAAAACTGCATTTTTGAACCCTGACTCAGCAGTTCTGTACCACATATAAACATGTGATCATCAAAATAACATAAAAATATTTACCTCAGAATTATTCATAATGACCTCTCAATGAAAACAATCCAAATATTCAACAAATATAGAATGGATAAAAATTCTAGGATATGTACATGGTAGAATATTATACAACAATAAATACCAGTGCCTCATAAAAGAAATATGAACCTTATGGACATCCATTTACACAAAAGATGCAGACACAAAGAAATACAAAATCTATGATTTGATTTGTGTAAAGTTCACAAGTTGGTAAAAACTGATCTGTGATACTCGAAGTCAGGTTAGTGGTTACTTTTAGACACTAATAGGACAATAAAAGGTAGATTCTGGGCATAGAGCAATAATATTCATTGGATGACTTCCTTGTCTCCTTGTTACTTGTTCCAAGTCAATGTCTAAACTATATTTAAAAATTAGTTGTACTGTTTCACAGATGAAACTACACACCAGGGAAGCTTTAAAAATATGGCTCAAGGCAGACAATTCGGCAACAGTCTGTCAATGTCACACTGGGTATTTTGTTTGCCCATTAACATTCTAAAGCTAATTAATTAACCAATCAATTCCACTTTCTGCCACAGGTAAAGGGATGGAAGGTCATTATACTGGTCATCTTTGGCTACAAATGAAGAAAATGAGCACATCGGCTTTGCTTCTGATACATAAAGAGAGTGATCGTCAAATCAGTACTGCCACTTCCACAGCCAGAGGAAGATTCCTGGGAGGATATAATGGAGTGGAGTTTGGTCACCATTTCCAGAGAATGGCCTCAACCTGCTGCAGAGATGGGCAAGTTCACGAGCTTGTATCTCTCATGCTGTCTGTGGTGCAGCTTTAGGAAAGCGTTAGACAGGAAGTGAACCTTGGAGAAGGGCCCTTCTGCGTGGGAAAGGAGCCCACTTCAGGCTGGAATGTCTCAAGAAGGGCCACCACAGCTATGGCCAGGACCTAATTAGCATCCCAGGACTCAGCAGCTCCACTTTTACTGATAGCTCAGCACCAGAAATGAAAGTCAGTTGTGTTGTTTTGTTTTGTTTTGCTTTGCTTTGATTTGTACATGATCAGACACAAATGTAAAAGACACTATGATACTATCATTAAAATAAACTATCAGTTTGATTATCATGATAATCAAACTGTGAAAACCTGTGAAATTTTAAAAATATATTCCTCAATCAATCAAAATGTTTTTTGAAAAAGTATCCAGGTACTACACATTTATTTTACAAACTCCTTTAATTTCTTTCATTTACATTGCCTTATTGGTTTAATGATTGTATCTCTTTCTTTATACTGGCCTTTTGTTTGTTTCTTTTTTTGTTTTTTAAAGATCTATTCCATTTCACTAAGTATGGCCAATACTACTTAGCCAAACACAGGAGGTAAGGTTTTGAAATAAAAAGAAGCAAAGTTTTACAATTGCCTAATGTCTAACTCAGTCTATGTCTCCATCTGGAGATAGCTATTCCTCCTTTATGTTTGCTACCAAATAGTAGCTGATAGTAAACCTGCAGCCTCTCTGTAGTGAGAAGCCTCTGGCCTGGAAAACTCAAGGAGGGGCTGGGGAACTGGGCTCAAGTGAGAGGTCTGTGAGTCACGGTGAGACTAAATCCAAGTTGTATAATCCATGTGAACCTATTTATTCATCTAGGTCTGAACTATTTGTTAAATTTTTCTACCACAGTTAACTAATGTTTCAAACCAGTTTCTTATAAACATATTTTATCTGCTCAAGCATAAGAAGTCATAGCAGAAAGATGAAGAAAGTGATATATTTACAGAGGTGAATCTGAACGTAAAGTTTCCAAATGTGAGTCTCATTTCTGCTTATGGCAAAAAAAAAAAAAAAAAAAAAAAAAAAAAAAAAAACAACCTCAAGAAAGGAAGAAAAGAAGAGAGAAAGAAAAGAAGGTAAGAGAAAGGGAGAGAGAAAAAGGATGCAACAACAGGAGCAGGGAGAGGAGAAAGGCATTTTTAACAGCCTTTCAAATCCTTAAAATAGTGATATTTGCTCTTGTGATGAACCTAATGGTGTTAAAAAGAAGAATAAAAGTGACTGAAGGGTCTTGTGGTCCCTAAGTAAAAAGTGCAGTGTTTTGAATACTGCCTCCTAGGACATCAAATAACAAAGACAAAAATGATAATTTAATGAAAATCAATGAAACAATTTAGGAAAAAGTTCTTTCAGACTTCAATTTGGTAATTTATTTTGCAAAGGAAACCAGCAGTCAGACAAATAAAGTAATACTGTGATGAGAGAACATGGAGAAAATGATAAGAAAGCCTTGCACACTGACTTCATGGGTGTCTGTACCAGTGTTTTCTAAGATACACCTTGATGACAAATGACAGGAAGGGAGGGAGGGAGGAAACATTTTCAGTTCAATGTCTTGAATGAATTAAAATTTCATCATAGAGAAGTGATCAATACTGGCTGATGTAGCCTTGAGTCATCAAAAGAAAGTCACTGCCTCCACCACAATAATTCATAGATTCATAACTAACCAAATAAGACATCAATAAATCTCCAGTTGTAGAAGCATCCAATCCCATTTTACACAAGCCCTATCTTCCCAAAGATGAGTCCCAAAACCACAGAAAGTAGAAAAAGTTTCAGGTGATAGAACGACACAGAAAGATAAAGAGGAGTCCCTGCTGTTTATACAGCATTTCTGTCTGCTCATTTCATTTTCCAGAATTGTGGTGCCAATTCAACAAAGTGATGGACAGAAAAGACAGCCTGCTGCAAGTATGCCCCGAGACAGGTGGCCAGCATACTGAGACAGGTGGCCAGCATACTGTCTGTGAGCTCCCAGAATCCCTGTGGAGTCTGGAAGGATTGTGGCATAGTTCAGTGGGATTGGAGTCTCTTCTGTATTTCTTGGAAATATCATGTTGAATTCATGAATGATAAGAACAGTTCATTTTTTTAAAAAAATTATTTCTGCAAACTTACCATTTCCGATTTTCAAATGCCACATGTAAAAAATATATTCTAATTGAGTATACTCTTCAAATTTAAAATGAATCTCAGGATAATGGAACTATAATGAAATCTGTTCTCATCACTTTGGAGACAACTCAAGATGTATAGGGGGGTCTCACAATAACAGAGAAATTGCCTTTGTTGTCCTCCTAGCCATGGTAACAGAATGTTAAACCCAGTGTGGGTTCCTTTACATCAGTCACCTATCCACAAAGCCTGCCCTTATTAGAGGTAAACATACCAAATATGGCACAGCTCTCTTCTCATGATTAGAAAAAATCCATACCTGTGTCAACAACAAAGTGAAATAAATGAATCCTACAATTCATTCATTCCATATGTATTGTCAATAATTTTAGTAATGTCTTGCATTAAGAGTCTTTTATGTCCTCTGTATCCTAAATGTAAATTTACACATGAATTATTTAAACCCCATGACCCAAGAGTTTTATAAATTCTTACTATAAGGGAGGAATATAAGAACAGCTATGTTAGCCAAGTACAGTTGGAATGCCTATAATCCCAGTGATGTGAGAGGCAAAAGGATCAAAAGTGTGAGTACCATTTGGGCAACTTTGATACCCTGTCTCAAAATTAAAAAATAGAAAAGGGTTGCGTGTGTAACTCGGTGCAAAGGCCCTGGGTTCAATCCGTATGTCATGGTTTATGTGGGTGGCACCTAGACCTCATGCGTTTGCATTATGCATTTGTGGTTGGTTCATTGTCTAGTACTTGGATTGATGGTGTCAGTGCTACACCCACATAGGGGTGGAGCCAGAATACAATGTAATGGCAGGAAGAAGGTGTATCTGACTCTCTTGCCATTTCCCACCTTGCTGTTTGCAGCCACCATAAACTGCAGCCCCGCCATGCCACCTGCCTTGGAGCCAACTGAGTACGGACTAAAACCTCCCAAAACTGTAAGAAATAAATCCTTCCTTTCCCAGCTTTGGGCATCAGGTATTTTGTCTCAGCAACCAGTAAAAAATGACTAAGACACCGTAGTACCAAGAGGAAAAAACAAAAGCCAAAACAACCATCAGCCACAAAACAGGAAGGCCATCAGCCACATAAAGGTACTCTGAACTGTAAATTGAATCTAGTATTCTCAAAGGTGCTCATGCTTTCAAAGTAAAGGAAACTAAAATGTAATCAAGCAACTTAATGACATGATATGCTTTACTGTGTTTCATTTTCCATTACTTATAAATGAGCTGCTTGTAATGTCTGCATTTGTGCAAACAGTTCCTAACTGGTTATTTGTCTCAAGAAATTGTTTAGTGTCTCGAAAGAAGGGGAATTTTGAACACTTGTCTAGAAAATTCACACCTAAGTAAACAAATCATATTCATAAACATTGGCCATTTCACACAGTTGTTTCATGTCGCAAAAAATTCCATGAATTATTTGTAAAATATTGAAATATTTATCCTATGAAATGTATTTATGAGATAATTTTTCATCTCCTGCCTCATAAGACTACTTTTTACTTCATTATCATTAATCATACTTCACGCAAATCAACAGCACAGGCAAATAACCAGCACAGTAATTCCCAATGAAAATTTAAATCTTTATTTTTTCATTACTTGCATGTTGAATTAGACTATGTAAGCTATAATAAAAAGAGAGATAAAATCTCAACTAGTATTTTTAGGAAGTACTTACGTAAGTTTGTGAGGTTGATACAATACCAATTAAAGTAGTCTCTGGTTCTTTTCTTGTCATTAACCAAACATTCTTAAAATATAAAAAATAGATTATAATGAACTTTTATAGATAAACTGTGAGACAGTTCTGCCAGATATCAAGGCACATTTGAAGCTGTGATATTCAAAACAGTTATGCTACTAGCATAAAAATAAGTGTAATGATAAATAGAACATACAGGAAATACCTTAGCAAAACTTTATAACAGAAATTTTTATTTGACATGAACAACATCTGAAAATAATAGAGAAAGAATATTAATAAAGATAATCGCCAAATGTGAAAAATTAATATAGATAATAATTCACATACTGCATAATCGAAATCCCTGATAGACTTGAATTGAGTGAAAATGCATCATAGAAAATTTAATAATCTATTTCACTAGAAGTTATCCATCTGTATATTTGAATAAATACACAATTTATTTAAATCAAGACCTTTCAAAAAGTGTGCAAAAATAAATAATTCACATTAAAGAATTTAAACTCACTTAGAAACTCATATAAACTTCAATTTTGATGCAGAAAAAATTAAATTAAATTAATCTTGTAGCATTTTATTCTCTTAATAATGATAAAATTAATTGAAATAAATGTCAAAATGATAATTAATATGAGATCAAACCCCCTGACACATTCTGTAAAAATTGTCTGTACAAAACCCTTATCAAAAGCAACTAAATCTTTATAAAGAATTGCAAATTTATTTGTATAATTTATCTTAATACTGCATTTTGGGAAAATCCATTCATAGAGATAGGTAATCATTCATGTTCAGAGAAATATATATATACAAAACATTACCACAGTGGCATAAAAGTAAATAATTAGAGATATATATGAGGTGTACTGATGGAATAAGGTTTAAATTAACACCTTTGCTTTCACTGGAGCCTTACTAATCTACCTTAAAGGTAAATTATAAAATTAAAATAGATGACTGTGGAAAACATGCTTATAAATGTAAGAGAATCTCTAGAAAGCAATGTCAAATTTTTCTAATAATTATTGAAGTTGATAGAAAACATTCAATTCTTTGATTGCCATTATAGCCTTGGTTAACAAGCAATAGGGCTACACTTTGAGAAACTTAATTTAAACACTTAGGCTTGAAGAAACCCAATTCAATAATACAGGGCTGGGGATATAGGTCAGTGGCAGAGCACAAGTTTAACATGCCCAAGGCTATAAGCTCAACTCGCAGCTCCTAAAAAAATGCATACATACATAAACACCATGCATATATACTGTACATGTATGTCTATATATATCAAACAGTTGAAAGTAATTTTTGAAAGACCTCAAAGTATGTAATAATTAAAAAACAATAGCCATTTATTTTCAGTCAACACCTGAGATGGAATTACAATTTATGTATAAATAACTATACATAAAGCATACATAGATTCATAGAACCTTGTAAAAAAAAGCATAAGCATTTCCTAATTGAAAATAAAAATGGTAAATTAGGCAAGCTGAACACTAAAAATTCAAATAACATTTTAAGATCAAGCACTATATACAGTTATAAATACACCATGACCACCAATATATATTTACACATGCACTTGTCTATATATACAACATGTACACAAAAATTATATAAAGGCATTTGTATAAATGTATAGTTGTATGTTTGTGCAAACATCCATGACTTTTCTATATTTTAAAATATATGAACAAGTTTCAAACAAATATCTTTAATAAGATAAAAAATATCTTTTTCAATCTAATAGCAATGTATTCAAGAATCTCCAAAGACTGCTGGACTTGGCCACCCGAAAGCAACAGAGTTTGGACTGGTTTGTGGAAGAAAACACATTTAAGGAGACTAAAATTCCAAGTTTCTTTCAAAGTCAATCATGAGGGCCGTCTCTCTGGCTTTTGTCTTTCTTTTCCTCCCATCTCTTCTCTGTTGATAGGGACTTTCCTGGCTGTACTACGCATGGGACAGCTGTTCTAAGAACCTGCTTTTCTGTACATCAAAATACAGAGCTTGAGGACTTGCAAGGAGAAAAAATATCAAGTAAGGAAATAGTGTTAAAACTATCAAAGAGGATGACAAAAGGAGAAAGATGCAGGCAGAAAAGTGAGAGAAGCTCATGGAAAGTGGGCATTGGGATGAGCAGATACAGGTCGAAGGGGATAAAACAGAGAAGACTGAAACAAATAAAGTGAGTAAGGAACACTGCCAGGAACAGGGACTGTGGTTAGCAGGGAAACAGAAGGAAGAAACCAAGCTATGGGTGCAGAGCACGGTGTCCACACAGTGAGGCCGTTTATATGAAACGCATGTATTTTTAGAAAATATATAAAATCATTTCTACTTTCTGGATTTTAGTGAGACATGTCATCGATTTACTTTTATTCAAGTAATGCTTTCCAAAGATCATAAAATGTTAGAGTCCATCAGGATTTATTAGACTTCAGGAGAAGTTAGGTTACTTTAGGAATGCATTAATTTTCTTGTGACATTTGACTTTTGCTACAAATCAATTGTTTGCTAAATGACTCCATGACCTAAAAGAGCTCATTTATTTCCCAAAGTGCACAGCCACCCTTAGGATGAATCTCTAATATCAAAAGGCTCTTGTGCAAGTTTTGTGGGAAAAGCCAATGAGGAAGCAGCAATTTAATGCTTCTATTTTGCATAAATTATTAGACTTTTCCAGTTCCAACATTAATTTTGTTATTTATGTGAATTAATATAAACTCTGAAGAAAAGCTAAGAAAGTTGTGTTATGAAATTTGAAAAATGTGATTTTGGAAAACTGATAGCCATATATTTTAGTTTTATAGCAAAGAAGTACTCTTCAAAAAGATGAAATGTGAAGGGGATGCATATGTAATAATGTTTTCATACACTTGCCAATTTAATGTGTTTGCATAAGTATTTAATGCATCAATCTTTTCAAGAACAACGTGTTATGAATTTCAATGTGATGCTTCTTTTTCATTAGATTAGCCTGTTTCTAAAATCTCCAGAGAAAATTCTATTATTTGATAGTTATTTCCAAGACAGTGGTCAAACTTTACTATTTTGTGGCCACAAAAGAAATTTGTTTAGCTTTTAAGCAATATGATCCTTTGTACAAATATGTGTGTGATTCATAAAAGTAAAATCAGTTTCTAGTTGATTTGGTAACCCAAGAAATTATGAAAAGCATTACTGGAATGAATATTAAGAATGGGCCAAATGTGTTGATGTTATCTTAATCCAGGAATGTTTTTGTTAATCTTGATGAAACTCTGCCCAGTTATTTCAGTAAAGCCTATTTACTTTCTTTGTGAAATTCAATTTGACTTTATTTTAAATATTGACATTTTATAGTTCTATTCTGCTAACTAGAATGCCTCATTAAATTGTTATCCCTAAATTTCATTCAAATTCTATTATTTTCCAGTTGCCTTCTTTCATCATACATGTGCCTGACTATATAGCTCATTCAATGACATCTTGAGTCAGTTGGTCTCTGTTCTTATGTATGTGTGTTTGGGTAATATTTTACATATATGTGTTGACTGCATAATAAGCCATCTAACATACTCTTGATGTCACTGTTCTTTTTTTTTTTTTCTTCATACATCTTCCTCTTGGGTACATAATTTTGAAACAATGATTAAATTGTTTATAAACAAAATGACAGACCAGTTATCAGTTTTTGAGGATGGGTCCAGCACATCCACAGTCTAAGAGGCAGCCCTACTTCAGGTTCCGACTTTCCATATCTAGCAATAGAGTGACCCACCCAGAGCTCTGCACAAGTAAGTATGGCTTTTCCCTTATTGAAATCACAAGTATACAAGAACGAGCCCCTCCGGGAGCAGCGGAGTATATGTGCTGTCTCCTTCAATAGAGAAATAATTGGGAGTTGGAGAGCTGATAAGCATTTAAGTTGTCATTTATTTCAGAATCCCCTAGCAAAGTTTTAATTTCTTAGTTGATAAATTTGAAGACACGAAATTCAATTCATGACACATAAACTCCTCAGGGGACAGACTTTGTCTACTCAGCTACGCCTCTAGTTAGAAAAAGAGCTTTGTATATACTAAGTGCTCAATAATTAATTGTAAGATAAATGCGACAGAAGAGGCCAAGGATGTTTGAAACCAGTTTGTAATATGCCATTTATAAGACTGAACACAGAAATAAATATCTTCTTGGGTGGAAGTAGATGAGGATTGGACAGGTTCCGCTCAGAGCACATTTGGTAAAACTCCAGGGAACTGGACTTATCTAAGTATATGCTATAAAAACAATCCAATGTCATATATTCCAGCATCTGTTGTTTCCTTTTGCTCTATTCAACAAAACCTATTGTGAAAGCAGAAGAACAAATAAGGAGGTTCCTCAAAAATTAGAAAGAGAACTGTCGTATGATCCAGCAATCCCACTTGATTGTAAGGTCTGTCAGGACCTTGAAGAGACAGCCATACTCCCATGTTGGTGAGCAGTGTTATCACTGTAGTCAAAATATGGAAACAATCCAAGTGTCCATCTCATTGATAGGAAAATGGATAAAGAAAATGTAGCATTTACATCTGTTTGTTTACTCTTGCTTACTCCTCAGGAAACCGTATTTCTCTTCTGCCTGGGAGGGAGAGTGGGGTATGTTCTTCCACAATTAACAATAGCACTTAATACATAAAATTAGCAAATTTAAGGCTAACTATACTACTATATCTTTCTCACACACCTTCATTTGAAACTATTAAAATAGACTTTGAACTCAGTCATAGAATATTATATATTATAACTGATTTACATGCAAGATTCTCAAAATACCTAATATATTTCCCATAAGAAAAATATGTTTGGTGCAAGATGCTGAACACAGAGAAATATATGACATTCTAATAGTATGCACATTTGGCTCTGCCCTTATATTAAATGCCATGGGAGAAGTCTTTACATTTTAGGGTGTCATTTTCAGAAGATATGCAAACCAGACATCCTATTTTGTGACAGCTACACACCCTTCACTCTGCTTTCCTTCTCTGGGAACTTTACCAGCTTCTAATCTTTGCTGAGCTTTCTGCATGCAAGGTACAGAATTTTATTTTCTCTTTATTTCCTTTTAATCCCAGTTAAAGGAATGGGGCACAATATTAATTATTTTCCTAATTACTGTACCTAAAAAGGAAAAATTTTATATAATTAATAAGTCATATTTTATCAACACAAATGTAATTCCTATATTTCAATGCTGTATGTACTCAATCTTCACCCCCACTGCTGTGAACCCACGGTCAGTTCTCTCATCTAAACTCAAGTATTCTACTCAGTGGACACTATCCACTACTATATGCCCAGATACAGCACTCCTGCAGACATCCCTGTCCTTTCCCTCTTATATTGTTGCATGCAGTATTGATATGCCCTAGGGCTCTGTCCTTGTACTCTTCTCTTGATCTACTGTTCACTCCGTAGGTGATCTCCTAGACACTTATGACTTCAAATACTGACAATCTTATGAAAAATTCCTGACATGCCTCTCTAAGCCAAGTCTCATAGCTGAACTGTATATTAATATATTAAAATTGCTTATTTAACATCTGCACTTTATCATATCCAAAATGGAGCTGTTGTTCCACCCCTTATCTTCCTCTCACATAGTTGCATAATGATAATTCCATTTTTCCAGTTATTTTAATCAAAATATTTGAAGGCATAATTGAATGATCTCTTTTACTCATAGGTACATACGATTACTTATACATGCTCTCAACTTTCTTGTCACAGACACATAGTATCTAACAGTTTTAGATAATCTAATTCGCATCACTTCCTTCCTGGTCCAAACCATGATCATGGTCCATTTCAACCATTTAGGATTACTCCTTTGCCTTTGTCTGAATGTGATCTGATACAATAATTGTAGTGTTTCTTACAAAAGTAAGGTTATGCCATCTGCACTTTAAGAACTCTATAATGAGTAAAGAAGGATAAAATAAATTCTGAGCTTTGTAAATGGGGAGTGGAAGGAGATTTGAAAAGAGAGGCTGGGAACGGGAGAAAAAGAGGAAACAAAATATATTGTGTACAGATACAAATTCCCTATAATGAATGTGGTGGCTCTGTATACCTAAATTCATTCAAATATCAATAAACTTAAATTATAATTATACCTGAAAAAAAAGACCTTCAGTGGTGGCCTTCTAGCTTCCTCTGAGTAGAAACCAAAGGACTTGCTGATCTCTCTCTCTCATCTCATCTCTCAGCATTTCTTCCTAGTCACTGTGTATTATAGTAAAGGGTTGTGAGGAGAACAATTAGAATCAGGACACAGAATTTATAATATTATTTTATGATGGCCATCCAGAGTAAAACCCAAGAGTGTTCAGAAAATCTGTCTGCAACACTAAAGACCCAGAATATTCAGCCAAGGGCCCAGATCCCACAGCAATGTCCTGCATGAATCCAGATGAAAACATAGAGCCCGTGACAGTGCCTTCCACAAGTCCAACTGGAGATCTAGAGCCCACAAGGAGGACTCATGCCAGTCTGTTTTACGGATCTGTGCTGAGAAGGCCTAAAGGTCAGTGGTGGAAGCTAGAAAGTCTATGCCAGTGGGGTGAAGGAGCAGTGCTGGTAGGTTGAGGATTTTACACTAGGGCCGATGAGTCACATTCATAATAAACACCAGGGCTGTCCTGAAAAGCACCATAGCCATCCTCAGCAACACGGAGGTCCCAAACCCTTCCAATAAGAACAATCAAGTACATGCCAGAAAGCCAGCATGATGAGTTTGTCCTGGAGATTAAATGGCACATGTCTTCCCCTGGGGGGGCCAGGGAGCCATGTTCAGTGTAAGGACCAGAGCTCCCTCAAAATGAACCACAGCCATTCATACCAACAAGGTCCCAAGCTCCTGCAGTAACAGTGGTGGAACTCCTTTCCTCTCCTTTCCATGTAGATGAGCACTGCAAGCACCTACATTTTCTTCAATTTCCTGTTAACTTACTGTCTTTACCTGTTAACTTTCTCTCCTTACCAGGAGGCCTGACACATGATTGAATACTGATATTAATATTAATTAATTCTTTTGACAATAATTAGTCAACACTGGGGAGGCTAGTCATGACGAGCTCCTCTAGGAGAACAAATGGCTTAAAACAGCAGCACTTAGAGAGACCCACAACGCCTCACTCATCTTCTCCACCTCTCTATGCTGGCAACTTTCCTCAGGTGGAACATCTATGCTCAGCACCATGCTGATTTAATTCAGCTGGTAGTTTTAATCCATAACACTGTTGTCACGCTGGTATGTTATTTTCTAGAACACATCTTGTCCTCTTTTAGTCTGGAACTTGTGTTTCCTTTGCCTCTCATTCCAATGTAGATGAACATTACAAGCACCTACATTTTCTTCAATGTCCTGTTATTTACCAGCTAACTTTCATGTTAACTTTCTCTCCTTAGCAAGAGGCCTGACATATGATAGAATACTGACATTAATATTAATTAATTCTATTGACAATAATAGTATACAATGAAAGGAAGAGTAAGACATGCATAATAATGCATTTAAAATTCACTAGTGGAATGTAGGAGTAATTATATAATCATGATTTAAATATACAATTGAAATCTGAATTTTAAAACTGAATATTCCAAGTAGCTATAAGATAAATATTAATAGCTAACATTTACTAAATACTATTCTTTTCAGACTGTGTTCTACGTTTTCTGTGTATATTAATTCATATTATCTTCATCTGTTGTAGTTTTGTCTTCTTTGTTCCTGATTGCATTGCTATGTAATTAGAAATGAAGATACCATCATAATGAACACCACTAAACTCCAAAAGCTAAGTTACTACTTCAAAAGAATATACTCCAATAAATGGAAGAATCAGGAAGAAATAAATAATTCCTAAATTCCTGTGAATTACCAAAACTGATCTAAGAATATGTAAGAATCCTGACTGATCCACTTACAAGTAATTAAATTGAAAACATAATAGAAAATGTACCAACTAAAAAGGCCCAGAACCCAATAGATTCACCACTGAATTCTCAGAAACTTCAGAAAGGTTGTAACACCAATATTCCTCAAGCTCTTTAGTGAAACTGAAAGAGAAGCAGTATTGCCAAACGCCTTCCTGGCAACTAGTATTACCCCAATTCCAAAACCAAACAAGAATTCATGGAAAAGAAAAATTCAGATCAGTTTTTGAAATGATACAGAGATCCTCATGAAATGATACAGAGATCCAGATACAGAGATCCTCAACAAAATGCTAACAAATAGAATTCAATATATCATCAAAAAAATCACATATTATGACC